CTGTTGTACGTACAAGAGCAACAGAACACAAGTCAATGACTGCAGCACATTTGCTGACATTTATCGTACAGAGGCTTAATTTTGATGTACTGGTTTCTCCTCCCCATTCCTGAGTTTCCACCTCTGGGAGGATGTAGGAAAATGCAGATCACTGAGCTGCCACTGTCTCCACTGAAAGTTGAGAGGTATGCTACTGTTAGAGCACAAATGGGGAATGCACTCGGCAAATATCAAACAAAACCCAAAGCAAAAGAAAACCACCCCCACCCGTCACCAAACCCAAGCAAACCCGTGCTGCCATCACACTCATGCTGGGCACAGAAAGCAAGCTGTGACAAACAGAAGCCATGGCAGTGAGCCTGCATCTCACTAACCTCTCTCACTGGCTTTCCAGGGGCATTTCTTCCTTTAGGAACAGGGAGAGGAAGAGGAAGAAATATCAGAAAAGAAAGGGAAAAAACCACATGTGAATATATATTTTACACTGTAAGAGACACTTCAATTCCCACTTAGGAATTTAATATAAAATAACTGCATTTCTGCTTTATACAAAGACTGAAAGAGCACTGAAATCCAGTAATAACTCTGATGTGATTTATTCAAGAACAATTCTGTAATCTGTGGCTTGGTTTTAACCTAGCAAAAACACTTGAGAAAACTACTAAAACCAACTTACAGGCCTTTCAGTTGAGGATAAGGATGGCAGAGAAGATCTAAATTCACCTTCCGAGCATCCAAATTTCCTCAACTTGAGCACTTCTACTGATCAGTGGCAAAATGATGTTTCTCCATTGTCAAATTAATTCATCCAGACACTTTACATTTTATTATGGCCTACATACATACATACAGGTATACATTCATATCGACACATATGCATACACACAAACACATTTTCCACCTAGAGCTGCACACTGGAACATAACATGCTCACATTCAAGATAAATACATTCCAGAAGATGTTTCCAACAAGCTGATGTGCAAGCATGGTAAAACTGGGGGACAGAAGGAAAAAGGGAGGAAAAAGAAATCAAGTAAAAGGGGAAAAAAGGGAAAGTACCACTTTTCAGTTGTACTGCCAAAATGGACGAGTTCTGAATGGGCTGTGCTGAAAAGATGTTCGCTTGCTGTCTCCAGAAGCATCCCACTGCCACTGGCACATTACTGCCAGCACCAATACTGCTTGACCTGCAGTCTTCAGCAAGAAAGTCACTGTGGCAGAGGCTGATCAAGAAAGATGATGCTCTCTGCCCCAGAGCTGTTGTAAATGATGTAATTTTAAATGGTATGGGACAATGTGGGGAGACAGAGACATACGGGAGAACACATCGTCAGTAACCTAATTGCTATTGAGTTTTTGCTAGGTATGGCAGCCTGCAGGAGAAGGAAGACAATAAATAGCTTTGCAGGTATTTTACAAGGAGCAGAACAAGGGTCAGCATCAGAGCAAAGCTGAGAGCAGTGGTGGTAAGGAGAGGAGGACAGGGCAGAGGAAGTGAATGGCATCACTGACCACCACAGGTCACAGCCACCACTCAGCTGCAAACTCTAGGCAAACAGCTGGGGCAACCTCTGAAGGGCCTGCACAGCAAAGGTTATGATTTATTGAACAGAGGAAGTTTTAGTCCCTTCCTTTCCTTCTTGCTCTCCCCAGTAGCATGCTTACTACTAGAAATGATCATAGAATCACAGAATGGTTTGGGTTGGAAGGGACCTTAAAGATCACCTAGTTCTAACCCCCTGCCATGGACAGGGAAACATTCCACTAGACCAGGTTGCTAACAGCCTCAACCAACCTGGACTTGAACACTGCCAGGGATGAGGCATAACAGGTTTACAGTCATGCTCTGCAGGTGGGTTTTTATTCTGCTAAGGGGAGCCTCGATTCAGGTTATGTCTATACCACACGTGCTGATGGTGCACAGAGGTACCAGGGTGAGCTTGGTGGCCCGGAGACGTGTCGCTTCAGTTCTAAGGACTTCACCTTGCAGACCTGCCTAACTCTCTCAGATTTATATGAGTACCTACACAGCCTGTGGCCTCCTCTGGTGATTTATCAGGAGCCATGAATTCCCTAAAAAATGCCTCCCAGGAGGGAAGATGAGAAGGCCTCACCACTATAAATCACGTAACAGAAAATCACTGAAGATGAAGACATAAAATCCATTGCACACGTTGGCCTTTTTCTGAGGAAGAGCCCCAAGGTTTAGGTGAGTAGGTGGTCTAGCTAAGGCCTCCAGAAACTGCAGCATGATACAGTGAGGAGTTCAAGAGTTCTGGGGTACAAATGAGATCCAGCAGAAGACAGTTCACTTTGGGTCAAAAGGAGAGAACAAACTGCCTACATGCAAAATACTGTATCCTTTTGGAGGTCTTAAAAATGCCTACCTGTCTGCACAATCACCTAAAATTGCAGCTACACTGTGTCTAATTTAAATATGTACGAGACAGACTGGATTCTGTTTGCAAATGAATATATTTAAAGGTAACCGGGATAGCTCTGCACCACACAAAACAGCTGGTGAGAGAAGTCTGTGGTGAGTAATCAGCCCTAGAATTTGTTAACTGCAACAAATAGTAGCACTACTACAGTAAGCTAATTTCTTTTGGAGGGAGATTAAAAAGGGTTTAATGGATTTTACTTTATTTTCTTCTTTGCATATGAATGAATGTGTGTCTCTAGGTTTTACAGCAAGAAGTATGGTTTGGCATAAATTGCAGAGGAAGAAGATTGTATTGCCACAGTTCTGAAAATCTGTATTCTATAAGGCATCAAAATACTGATACACAATCCATGGGTGCCTGATTATCTATTATTACTGCTCAAATCAAGATTTCCTGCCCTTACAAAATAGAAGCCTTTCTTTTTCTGTTTTGGAAATCTGTAGGACATTGTATCACCCGCAGAGGTACACAGAGAGTGATCAAATCAAACCTGAAAGCAGAGGCATTAACAGAAATTTCATCTATGCTGACACATAGAATCATAGGATGGTTTGGGTTGGAAGGGATCTTAAAGATCATTTAATTCCAACCCCTCTGCCAGCGGCAGGGACACCTTCCATTGGACCAGGTTGCTCAAAGCCTCATCCAACCTGGCCTTGAACACTGCCAGGGATGGGGCAGCCAAACTTCTCTGGGCTGTCATTTCATAGCATAAGATGACATCTGTATTAAGCAATACTATGTTAAATAGTAACAGTGAGTACTGATCCCTCTACAAGTGTTTTCATGTTATGTCATGGCCTCTCAACTCTTTTAAGCCATTGTGGTCACATTTCTAACCACTTCTTGGCTCGCACTTCCTCATTATTCACCATCAAGGGCCTGCATTGAAGACCTGGGAAGCAATTTTGTTAGCTCAGGAACTTCTGCCCCTAAATTCCTCTCTGAGCTTCATTCATAGAAAGCATTTGCCACAAAACAGTAACTACAAAGCACAGTGTGGTCCACAGTGTGGTCCACCATGAGATCCACCTGAAGCAGTGCAACTTGTTTGTTCTCAGTGCTGCTGGAGAGATGGATTTGGCTTTAAAAATACTGGCCTGCCAATCTTACTTTCTAACTGTGAACCAATTCCCCGGAGATTTAGTAGCTTGGGCACAAATACAGCGTGAAAATGTTTTCCTCTGTGGCCCATTATCAAGCAGGGTCAAATAAACCACTGAGGTGGTATTTAATGGTAGATTTCCACTAAATGTCAGACCTCTGGCTTTGACATCTGTTTTGAGTTAGCACAGCAGCTGTTTGAAGCAGCTGCAGCAGTTGTGAATTTGCTGGGAGAAGCAAAGTAAAAGAGGACTTGGATGGGAAACCTTGTAGATTAAAAGGAAAGAAAAATTCCTTAAGCACAGCAATCATCAGGTATTCAGAAGAATTTCCCTCTCCAGAAATTAAACAGCTTTCGGCGCCAGCAGTCAGCTGTGCAAGGAGCATGTAGGTCCTCTGCTCCTTATGCCGAGAAACGTCAAAAGGTTAAACTGAAAAACCCTATGAAAGGTATATAGTCACACAAGTTATTGCATCAGAAGGTCTTGTGAAGGTCTATGACATGATTTGTTTAACATATGCTTCCCTAAAATGCATTCAAAAGGATGCTGGGAAGCCTCAATGCCCTTTTAAAAACAACTCTATGTAAGAAAAGCTTGGAAAATATCATAATCAAACCAAATCTATCTCCAGGTGAGTGGTAATTAATTACTACTACACTTTACTGCTTTGTTTCAGAAGTCCAAAATAAGAGCTACTACTTGCTTTAGAAAACTGTTTCCCAAACCAAGCAAATCTTACTCTTCAGATGCTATTGCTGGTATTTAAACTAAATAGTTTGTTTTTAATTTGTGTCCTTTTATGTTCAACTATGCACCTGAACATCCAAGTACCAAAATTCAGTCCTTTTCTCTCTTCACTGCTTATTCAGCTCTAACCTTTCCTCAGGAAGCAAAGCCTTCAGAGTCCAGTGTGCTCTTGTCATACCGTTCCGCACTCCTCCAAATTGTCGTTAACTTAACAGCAACAGAATACCCAGAATCATGTCCCTGATTCAAAAGGCCTATCACTCCCTATGCTGTGACATGCTGCAGCTGGACATTTAACTTGAAATTTGACATGCTTATGTTTACAGGCCACAAAGGAAACACACATTTAATGTTCTGTCAGTAACTTCCCAGTCCTTTTAATATATCCCTAGATTTTCTCAACTGATTCCATGTATAAATTTCAGGTATTTGTATGGATGTTTGTCCCTTCCTGAATTTCATTTTGTTATTCTCAGCTTCAGCCTAGGCAGGTGAGTGCCCTCTGTCCTCTGCAGCTCTTCTGGAATTATATCATCTATGAGTATCATAGATTTCTTCTACAGTATTAATATAGAAATAAACAAATCTACTTCTAGTATTAGTCAATCTTCGCCATTTAATCCACCTTCCTTCTAGTTTTAATTCCTAAAGATAGTATGCATCACATGTGGTGCCACCTTATCCAAGTAGTTCTAAATCACCTTTCAAATAATATTTCATAAGCTCCTGTATCACAACACACTTCTGAATGCCAGACTGGGATGACTGAGTTTTCTTGCATCTGACAATTTTTTAATTCTTCTTAGTAAGAATTAATGTAAGATAATGTATTCTTTACAGATCTGTGGTCATCACTTGTTTGGGCTTATTGTACTGTTTCCTGAATACCTACAAATAGCGTCAGATTCATTACAACCAGTAATGCAAAGAAATAAACCATTACTAGCACCATGTCTGAGTCCTTACACTATACCCTCTTAGGCGGCTTTGCCAAACTGCTTTCTCTTTTGCATTTACACTTTGATCTTTTATTACAGATTGTAAACCTGAGATACAGATTTGCACCTTTGAGCAGCAAAAAGGCCTCTGATTCAGTGGTTTGTTGAGATCAGTCAACCCTGCTTCCTTTTCTCCTTCCTGCAGTCTTGTAACACATAACGATGCCAGTGGAACCTGACTGACCACAGCATCCTTCATCTCACAATGACAGTCTACATGAGGCTGTGGCAGTGGAGGCAAGCTTTGTTTATGTGGGTATCAGTCGAATATAATTTTATTTTTAAAACTGAAGTAGAAAATAACTCCAGTAACTGAAGTTTGCACGAGATCTCAGCAAAACTGACAGTGTCAGTAGCCTTCTATATCAACCAGTGAATAGAAATCCATTTGCCCTGGTTGTAGGACAACCTGTTTCTCCCAGAAGGCCTTAACATGCCTATTCCTCAACCAAAAGCTACTGTACAAACCTGGTGTTCGTGCAAATGCATCAAAAGATACATGAAGAAGAAAGAAACCTCAAGGTCCTAATCTCTGTAGCCAAAACGTGGTACAATTTACCCAAAAGTGAGTGTCTCTTTCTCCCAGCTGGACTAATCTTTTTGTGTAGCCAATGGGAAAGGAAGAGGCAGACTATGGCTCAGCCCAACACGCCTTGGTCAGGCCCAGAAGAAAAGTCCTGTGGGAAGCTTGACTCTGCCTCACGGCCTGTGCTTGCTCCTGGCTGCTGCACCAGAAGCTTCTCTCAAGGGTTGGCTGAGGAGGACAGAAGACAACACATGTCAAACAAAGACAGTGCCTCCTCCTCACTCACAGCCCTCCATGCAACTAAAGAGCATTTTTGACCTTTATGGCTCCTGGTCAGGCACGAAAGTATACAGGCTGCAATCTCTTTCAGGGATGCTTGTGATCACACACTACTCTTTTAACATGGTTACTGAATGGAGAAACAAAATAAGGGAATACATTCTTTCTCTGTATTTAAATGACTGTATTTTTGGATCACCAGAATGAAAATGTGAAGTTACAGCTTAACTTATGGAATTAAAATATTAACTGATGTATGTAGTACTTCAAATATCTCATTAATTGTTGTTTCATAAACTGCTTTTTATTTTACTAAAAACTAAGCTCGTTTTTTTAAAAATGAAACTGTTTGTCAGTGTCATCATGATTATGAATTAGATACCACATTTGGTGAATATTTTAACACATGGGGTGTCTACATCTAGACACATGCGATTGTGCAAGATCACCTAAATACAACATATTTACAGAAATGATGGTCATTGATAAGAAAGCACTGTCTGCTGCAACCTTGTGTACACAGCAACTTCAAAAATAAGTAAATTTTTATCTACATACTAATGTTTGAAAGATTTTACATCTACTGTCTCTGATAATAAATATCTAGGCAAATATGACTTTTTTATATAATGTTGAGGTGGAGATGAATGTGGGCAAAAATATATTGTCTCGTATTTTCTTCATTAATATCTCTCTAAATGATCCTATCTTTTGATCTATAGCACAGGATCTTACACATTTATACTGCCTTCTCCTTTCCCACTCACAGATGATGCCTGGTGAGAGCTGAGCTTGCTTTGAAATCAAAGGATGGAGAACACTTCACTGAAAAGTCTAGCATGATGGTTAACACATTTATCTATTGAGGAAGAACCACTGGGTGATGTGTGACTGTGCAAGGGGCCCTGTGGTAAGTTTCTGCCCCTACTGAAATCCACTTAACAGGTGTCAACAGACACTGGGACTTTCTTTTGCCAAGAGATTTATCTCTGAGCCTTCTTTCGCAGCAACAGGTAATAAATATCCCAAAGTTCCCACCTCCTGCTAAGAACCTAAACCATTTTTCTTGAGCAGAGTATTTCCTCTGGGCTCAGAAAAGACCTTCTTAAATGAAAAAAGGTTAAACAAATAAATCCCAGTAATACAAATGCTTGTCTTTGGCAAACAACAGGAATGAGCAAAATGGAAACACTGAAAGAAATGCCGTGTCTGTACGCACAAGTGCAGCCTACGCTGCACAAACAAGCAGCCCACTTGTTTTAACTCCATCACTCTGAACTACGAGTCCAGAGTGCTACAAGGTCTACAAGGTCACATCTCTGACTCAGAACGTTAATGTTATTTCAAACACCATTCTTCTTGGAGAAATCTAAAGACAGAAGAAAAATGTGCTAAGTCATGTATTAAAAATAAATCAGCAAGGAGACTAACTGAAAAGGAGAAAAGCTGTGAGAAAAGGAACATGGCAAAAAGGAAGAGAAGAAAATTCTCAGGAAAAAAGAATCTCAGACAGACATTGTTTCATCCATGTATCTAGCAAGGGCTACCTGTGGAGGTAGCTAAAGGTAAAAGAGAAGCAGGCTGCTTCTCCACTCTAAACCAGGTTTCTCTACAGCTATTGTTAAAAACAAAGAACAGCAAAAAACCTGAAACCAAAACACAACCCCCTGAAAACATCAAGGAACAGAAAGCACTTTTATCTTCTTCCCTCTCATCTGCCACAGGCAGCCGCGCTCACCTCTGGAGCTGGGGAAGGAGTTGTTCAGCTGCTCCATCACTTCCTCCAAACCTGTGCTTGTGTCCTGGGGAGGGCTGAGCAGCTCATCCTCGCCTGGAAAGCAAATCCACACCACTGTATAAGAGCCTTTATAAAACCATTTGCTAACAGCTTGCTGCTGCACATGTCCTTCATGAAACTAAGGCTGTTCACTTGAACACATTTTCTGCTTAGTATGCAATCAAAATTTTAAAGGTGGATTTTGTTGACTATTATGTTTTTCTTTTTAAGGATCTAAGGGAAATTAAACAATGAATTTTAAACAATTAGCAAAGACTTTCAATTTGTAAAAAGGGATTTAAGAAAGAATCCACTCTGGTAAAAGAAGTGGGGTAAAATGTCTGCTAGGAACATTTAGTTCCATAAATGACACTCGCTTCAGCTTCTCTTATTCTATTAATGGAAAAAGAAATTGCTGTTATGAGTGCTGCTATTGAGCAGCTTTCTAATAGTGCTGGATTCATGTTAGCACTGCTTTGCCTAAGCTGCGTAAATCAGTAGAAACCCAGATTCTCATCTGCATCAGTATTAATATTTCTGACAGTTTAATTGCATCAGATTGGTGCTCCAAGAACATTCAATTGTACTGTAAAAGGGTTTAGCAGCAGTTTAATAAAGCGAAATACATTTCTCCCACTGAATAATTTCTATAACCTGATTATAGGGCATCAGCTTAATGGGAAATTCAATACATTTTAGTTTTACTGGGTTTTTTTTCGGTCATGGTTTCAGATAACTAAAAACCGTATGTTGGTTTTACTGTAGACCCTAGCCTCCAATACAAATAAAGTATCTGAAAAAAGAATACATGTAAAGGATATACTTTGAGTGAGATTCTCCTTTTTTACTAGTTTTCTTTCATTCCTAATAAAACACAAAAGCAATGTTTCCTGCTGTAATAACCATGCAAGATACTTCTTTATTTTGAAAATTACATTCTAGCATGTCTTGCCCTACTAAACTTGAGTGATAAATTGCCTGATTTTCTTTTAGCATTTATATTCTTTAAACATTGAGGTGCTCCTTGCTAGTAGAAAGCCTACTGAAAGAGATGCTAAAGGAACACTTTAGGACTGCATGCACTTCCTACTATTAGGCTTAGTGTCAGCCTCATGTTAGGGCCAGGAGTTTCACAAGAGTTATTACTGACCAAGAGTAATTTTTTCCCACTCCAGTGCAAAAAGTGGCATAAAGTTTCTCCAAGAGGCTCTTAATTCATATAAGTGATGGTCTTCATATCAGCTTCTTTTATTCCATTAATCATCTAAAAATAGCTGCTGAGACTGCTTACAGCTTTTGACTGGTGCTGGGCTCACACAAATCACCTCACACCATGTGTTACTTTTGCATCCAGTGTTGCACTGATAGAGGCGCCTTAGCAGAAGTAATGTCCTTCCAGCCTCGGCTGGATGTCAAGATGAAAACCCAAGAGTGAGATCTTGCTGCTTCTATCCATGCTGAGGACATCTATCAGCATGCCTGCAGGAAGCCACCTGGCCCTAAAGACTGAAAGAAGAGGTCTGTGGTTCTGCTCAAGAAAAACTGAGGACAGGTACTGATTTTCAAATGTCTTGGTAAGCATGAACACAAACTGAACTGTGCTGATCCTTAAGACTGCTGTATCCTTTATTTAAAATGCATTATTTTCATTTTTTCTCATATGGATTATTTTTCTGAGCATTTTTTTTTTGTACATGAGAAAATAAAACATCAGCCAAGCAACCTGACAAATGTAGACACCTTCAGACCTCAACTACCTCTCTTTACCTAAAAGAGTCTTCCCAATTCGTGTTTCTACAAAAGGCTTGGAGAGCTGGGGAGGTCTCAAGTATTCTGGTGGTACCTGAACAGATTATAGTTCAAGGAACAGCCTCTTGTTCTCTCGTGTGCCTCAGAGAACCTCCTCTACTGCTACGTAACTGGGGGAGAAATGCCAAAGTGCAGGACTTTCCCATTAGGACTCTGTGAGAAGAAAAGCAGAACCTTTCCACATGCCCAGTTTTATTTCAGGTTGTCAAGGGATAAGCTTTTCTACTTGTAAATTAGGAGCTGAGTGGGTTGGTGCTTTTACCAAATGGCTGGACAACACTGCTGATCGAAAACCTGTCACAGTAATCTCTGCTTGAGAAAACAGAGAGACAGAGAAGCACAGTGGGTCTACATTCAAAGAAAAAGTTCTAAGACATCCTCTCAAAAAGAAAAATATATAAAAGCTACCACTGTATTACCTGATCCTCAGTATTTTCTTGAAAATTATGACTCCCTCATTACTAGGCACATGCTTGCTGCATGGGAACATTATTTACAACACCTCTCCAGTTCCTTCACAATTCAAGAGTATTTTCCGTCACGCTTCAGAAAACTCTCAGACTAGCAAGCAAAGCTTTCTAGTGTGAAAGGAGACTTGACAAACTGAATTAGTTGTGGTTTGTTAGCTCGGTTAGCAATTCTTTTTATAAGCTCTGCTCCATGCTGCCAACAGTGTTGCTTTGCCGAGTCTCAACACGATCATAAAGGATAACGATTCAACATCTTACTGTCCTTCTGCGTATTGGCTCAGTCAAACAAACAAAAAAGCCCAAGCCATGCCTAAACGTTTGCTTTAAAAAAGTTTTAGCAGTTTATATCATTGTATGCACGTTAATTAATTCTAGTCTCACAAGTTAAATGGGAATAATTTTATATTGAGTCAAATGAAACAAGACACATTATTGTATTTTGTCCTAATAAAGTATAAAAGACAAAACTACAGGACTTTCAATAAGATGGCTGGGAACCAACGTCTTCCTATCTCTTCTTGTGTATTTTGATTAATTTATTCTAGGTGATAGAATTTAGGACATTTCTTCAGAACGCTGATGCAAATTATTCCACTGATACATGATGTCTACTCTTTGTATGCCATACATAGCAAAATATTTACTTGCTAGTCATACGATTAAAGAAAGATCCGAATGAAATTGTTGTTACCTGTGATTGTTCTCTCACCCCAGGATTTAACTTAAGCATTCCTAAAGGTACAACTGTTTTCACTTTTTTTTTGCCGTAGGGCGTACAGAACCCATCTTGTTTGATACCAGCACAGGCTCACATTATTGCCTACACTCAGGATGACAGAAAAAGGCCATGAACAAACTGCATCTCCCACCACGATGGCACTTCAGACACAGCAGAATGTCCCCTGCCGTTCAATTTCTCACTGTCACTGACTCTCTCACTAACCACAGTGAAGAGACAAGCTTTCACTTAAGCCTCTCACTCTCCCCCAAAGCCTCTCTCCAACATACACTAAATAAATTTATGTGTATGAAGCTGAATATTATCATCAGTCTTAAAGTATTATCTTGTTCAAATAATTTAAGCATATTTGCTTAAAGATGCTGCAATGGTTGATTTAGCAGAAAATCCTTGCTACTTGGTAATAAATACTTACTAATTATGTAACAGATAAGAAATTAGGAAAATTCTACACAGCAGTTACTGAAAGCACCAAAATAATAATTCTAGCCTCTAGCTACAGAATATTATTACTTAACCTTACTCCACAACTCAAATGATGTTCATTATTATATCTGATGTGATATTTAGAAGACACTAGATGAGCACTGCCTATGAGCGACAGCTCAATCCTACTGATTGAGCCATGACATACTAAAAAGAAGATCATATCTGTTAACATGGAGCTGATTAATCATACATTTGATCTCTTAGCCATACTAAACACTGTGTGCATTTAAATAAGCCATATCACACTTAATAGCTGAAAAGTCAGTTCGAATAAAATAGTCAGCTTTTTAGTGATGACACTGAAGACCACCGCAAATGTCTATTTCATTCTCATTTGAACTAAACAAGAGAGAAGAATATTTTCTGCCTTTAAGGATTTTTTTCTGAAAAATGGGACTATAACTATTTTTTATGACAACCTGAACTTCATTATCTTACCCATGGTTTCTGAAGTCTGGCTGCCAACTACACGAAGAAGCATTGGCTGACTGCTGTCTGACCTCTGCAAAGAGGTAGAAGGAGATGACAGTGTTGTACCATTCACCTTGGCATCTGCCTGTGGCTGAAAATTGAAGACAAAAAGAAGAGAATAACTATTTCTCAGTACACTTGCACAAATCTTTGTATCTCTGTATTTTTTATTCCATGAATACACACAATTTTCTGTCTGTTTTTAAGTAAATCTATCCATGCAAACAATGGATTTCAATTCTCAATAAAACAATGAAGAATAAGAACACTGAAACATGATTTCAACTTTTCACTTGCAGTCTGTAGAACAATTTAATATTATTCTCTCACTAGCCTCCACAGATAGAATTTCTTGGTATGATGCTGTTATTGATAATGCTTCACACGCTGTTTGGAAAGTGACTCTACAGAGATCCAGAAGAAAGGCTTTAAGGACTCACCTGCTCCAGCAGTTGCCTCAGCCTGTGCAGCTGTGACTCCAGCTGTTTGTTGTGATCCTCCAGAATTTGCATCCTGGCCTCCAGGCGGCCCTTGTGCTGGCGAAGCAGCTTGGCTTCAGCAATGAGCTCAGCATCCCGGGGGCTTTGTGGAGAAACTGGCATCATCTCCGGGGGGGACGGCAGTGGAGACAGTCCTTTGTGGTCATGCTGTTGCTTCAGACGGTCATACTCTGCTTGCAAGTTTCTGTTGAAAAGTAGCAAAGAGGTGAAAGTATTACGGAGCAGAAAAGGATGGTTCAGGCTATCCTCTGCATGGGGCAGTGAGAAGGCACCTTCTCTCGTGTGGTGTGATGTGTCTAACTACGGGGGGGCAGAGGTTCACCTTCACCACCTGCTTTTCATTCTGCTGAATCCACATGCATGTGTATTCATGTAGGCTTACACCTCGCAGATTTGCATGGAGCTCATACTATAGGGACCTGTGACACAAGCACTGCCTAAAGGCTTCCTCCGAAACCAGAATTTATGATTAAGTCCCTCGCAGGGCACACAGCACAGAAGGCTGGCTGGGCTCCAGACACCCTCCTCAAGCCTGGGTACAGTCTGTCCTGGGCTCAGCCCTCCCTCAGCTTCCTGCTTTTTATCCTTCCCAGCAGAAGTCGGACTGCCTGTTTGCTTCCATGCACGAATACACTCGAGGACCAATTAGTGCTAAAAGAGGACTTTGCATGATCAAAGCCCTTTACAAACACTAATCAAAGTGGATGCCACCTGGCTGGCCTATCCGTTCTACAGATGAGAAAGCTAAGACAGAAAGGCAGCCACGCAAAAAGTCAGAGCAAAATGGAGAACTGGAGCTCATTTGCAACTCTGCCATCGTCACTCAGATCACATCACTCTCCTCCCTTGCATTTGCAACTGGATTTCCAGCCTAGCTCTAAAGTTACTAACCTAATATGAGGAAAGAGGAAAAGACAAATTAGTGAACTGCTATGTTAAACTGCACTGCAGTAACTTTTGGGGTGATGATTTTCATCTTCATTTCGGCTGCCCTGTCTACAGTGCTGCAGTCTACTGTAACTTTATGGCGCTGCTAAGCTTGTTCTTTTCTTCTGTAAAGCTCCAGCTTTACTCCAGTAAAACACTTCATAGATTAATACGATCTACAGTGGTCGACGTGAAAAAAACCTTACCAAGCAGGATGAGCACAGAAGGTAAGAAACTGAAACATTTCTAGGGATAACTCAGTCTAAAACTGCAAAAATAGTAACTTCCAACAAAAATGTCGTAGGCGAGGGAAGCCTAATAAACTGCGCTGGGATTTTGTTGCTATGATGTTCCTTCAGAGCCTCCCAGAGGGGGGATGCTCTGGTAACTGCTTACTCATCACACGCAGCGACCCAGATTTTATTTTTTCCAACTTGTTCCTATTTGAGGATGTGAAAATAGGCACTTTTTGCCAGTTCTGCCTGCAAACCACAATACACACTGACAGTTTGGTCTGGAGGCTTAACAGCACCTCAGAAACCCCTCGATAAACCTCTCTAAGTTCTGAAACTCTTCTTAAGGTACATTATTGTGCCCAGAACAAGAACTCAAGCAATACACTTCATTTTGCATAGATAATAAAGCAATGCCAAGGACGAAGACAGGCTACTGACTGTCCTTCAAATGTACTTGTGCCTCGCAGCAGCTACATGATAGACACGTGCTAACCTGGGGCTGTGGCACCCCCTAGAACATGAACCCAAAAGGATGTCTGACCCAAATGACTCCTCTACTGAAGTTTTAGGAGATTAAAAAAAGAGGTCAATCATTCTTAACTTCTAGTCGTTCCAAAATTCAAGATTTATTTCTCTAAAACCCACACAAAGGGGGAAAGACTATGTGGAGTTAAGAACAGAATACAGAATAGCTCAGCTAGAAGGGACCTACAAAGATTACCTAGTCCAACTGCCGGACCACTTGAGGACTGACCAAAAGCTAAAGCATGTTGTTAAGGGCATTGCCTGAATGCCTCTTGAACACTGACAGGCTTGGGGAAATGATCACCTCTCTAGGAAGCCTGTTCCAGTGTTCAACCACCTTCTCAGTAAAGAGTTGTTTTTTTTCAAGGAAAGTTTTTGGTTTTAATGAAATACAGAGTTTTGAGTCAATGAAAATAATCTGGGAAAAAGAAATACGGGCTCTACTGGGTGTTTTCTGATACTTGTAGCCAAATGAACTGGTGAATAATTAATAAAAATACAGACGGGCATAGGAATGAGCATGACAAGAGTATCAGACACAGTCTTATTGCAGTCTAAAGTTTACATAGGATTGACCATTAAGCTTGTTTTTCACGAAGTCTGTAGATAGTGGCTATCGCTACCCCCTTGAGGAATTTCCCAGATGTGTGATACGGGCAATACTCTAAAAACAGCAGACTCAAAAGTCTAAAGTGCTGTAAAGCAAAAGATAAAATACCACCCTTGGTCATACTAACAACATAATCAGGCACCCTGCTACAATGAAATCTACAATTATAGCCTCAACCAGGAACCACGGTATTGAAAAACAAGTGAGGACTAGGGGGTAATTCAGATAAACATGCCTTCATGTCTCATACAAAGCAGTTAAAAACTCTTTCTGAAAGCTTAGAGTTAAAAAAAAAAAATATTATAAAGGATATTGCATCTCAATTTGCGAGTTCAGTAATTAAATAGAGTGACATTGTTGGAACAAAGGAATGTCATTTTGAAGGATGGATCTGAGTTTGCCCAGAGGACCTGTGTCACTGAGTTTTCCAGCTGCACCTTTGCAGTCCAGCCAACACAGTCCTCAGGCTTTATAAGAATTGAGACTCATCATCACAGAAACTGCCTTTAGAGCTGCAGAAGTGATGTGGAATGCAGATGATCAATAATGTCATAGTAATTGGGATCAAAACATATAGGAATGAAGATTTGTATTAACACAGGGGAAAAAGCTGAAAAGAAAGAAAGAAAGAATTCGAAACCTGCTGGAAGAATATCCTGGAGGAGAGAACAATCAGCTCTTATTCCTACCTCTGGAACAGTTCTAAGCTGTGTGGTGAAAAATGATTGCTGCTGCAAGCCAGGCGCTGCCCACAGCCCTCAGTGTGAAGCCTCTATGTCCCAAAGAAAAGTGCTCCGACATATTCAGCATAAAATGGGATGTAAGAGAAAGAGGAGATAAAAGCATAATCCTCTCTAAATGAATGCAACTGAGCAAGCAGAGGCAGTACTGTGAAACAGCCTCCTTCCACCACAGCTCAGGCTGGGTAACTTTTACATTGGGCTATCACCAACAAATGAAGCTGCTGCGTCTTCTGATCTATGCTACTTCAGTAAGAGAAATACTGAAAGAAAACCCCCATATATTTATATATCTCATTTATTATGCTTGCACATCTTTGAAGCATTCATGAAGAAAAATAATAGAGGAAGCATGCAATGTAACCTTGATTTATGCAACTGCAAAGAGCCGGGTAGCAAAGAGCTCATGAGTTCTTAATCATATCTATTACTGGTGGCATTAATTGCCTGGTGACAGAAATCCTCGTGCACCCCATGTGCTGAGCAGTCCTTTTGGAAGCAATTGAGAATTTCTGAATTCGTGTTATTTTTCATGTCCCTACAGAAAATCAGTGGTCTGAAGAAATGGACAAAGGTGGTAACTGAACTACCTACCCCTGTCCCTCACTGGAGTGCCAGTGTTTACTCATGATGCTTCATCCTCAGAAGATCTAGTTTCCCTTCTCCTATGCCAAAATAAATACCAAAAGGAGCCACAACATGTTTAGAAATATATCACTTTCTCGCTACTGGCAACTATACAGAAGGAACTTATTTAAGGTGGCCATTCATCACCCTTCACCTTTGAAGGAACACCATAGCTGTGCAGAAACAGGGCAGCTTTGAGACCTGGGGTATTAGTGCTTCTCCAGTAGCTGACAGCCCCCTGTGCTCCAAGTGCAAGTCAGGAAAGTAAAGGAAAGGCAACTAGCTCTGGCTGGAGATCTCATTTACTAAGTTTTTGTTATATACAGCTAGGAACTGAGAGGAAAAGAATAGAACACAACAGAAGTCTCCCTTTTACAGAAGTATGTCAGTGATCTTGATTCAACTGAAGTATTTAGGAAACATCCTTTTTCTTTAGTCATTAAACCAGCAGGAAAGTATTTTAATTCTTTTCACAAAGTTCTATGTCTCTGTCACTGCAAACCATATGCTTTCCATTTAATGCTAGCACAGTACATCCTAGTCAGTATAACCTATTCTGCAGAATAACCTATGTAACATGCCACTTTAGATGGACACCAGAAATCTGTCTTCTCTGTTTCTAAAATATATTCACTCTTAAGGAAATCTCAAAATGTTTTTGGGACAGTTTTATAGTTGTTTTTTTCTCTTATATTGCAATATAGTGATAATGCCTTCCATAGCGAATTTACTTTATGTTTATTGCATACATAAGAAACAGTCTTATCACAATAACCCATGTGATGCAAAGCTGAGCATCAGTCTGAAGGCCTAATACTCAACTCACTAGTTGAAAATAATTCTCTAAAATACTCACATTTTAGCAAATATAAATTAGTTAACAGTGAAATTTTACCCATAAATTATTTAAGGTAGTCATATTTGCAAGCCACAGAAGTACGACAGTCTGAAAATGCTAGCAGATAAATAATGAATATCTAACAAGAGGTCCTTGGAACTGAAAAAAAAACCCCAGTCAGTGTCTCAGTTTGGCTGGTTTCTAAGTTGGATAATACATTTCAGAAGAATTCAAAATAGGAAACTGATCTTTTTAAACTGCCCAAAAGCAGAATCTCAGAATTACAATTTCAGAGAGTCTTCCATTTAAGTAACAAGTTAAGATAAAAATATCTGGAGACCATAAACTGCAGCTGAAACCCAAATGGAGGTAAGAATTCAATGAAGAGCTCAAAAGAGACAAAGAAAAGTCAAAACATGAAGCAAAAAAAGGGGCTTTTTCGAAAAGCAGGAAATTCTGGAGAGCAGAAGAAAAAGAGAAATGACAATGAAGTTTTGAATATTGTAGTATTGCTTCTTGTTGGCACTTGATGCAGCTTCCCCAAGAGCTGCTGAGAAGTGACTGCATGTGCTGACTCCAACTGTAAAATAATATAAGATACAGCAGAGATGTAAATCTTCGTTGTCAAAAATCCTCAGCAGTGTATGCAACAGAACCTGTGTCAACACAAGCAGGAAAGGATGACTGTTTACCTAACACTGGTAGCTGCCCAGCCACTTGCCTTCCCCAGCATAAGCACCACATCCAGCTCAGCACCAGCAAGCAGACATGCTCCAGCAACAAGACCTGAGGTATTTACAATGGAGATGAAACAATTCAGGTGCTTTAAGGTTGGGCTGAGGACCAGGTGGTCACAATGTGATTTGCATCACATTCAGCTCATTTCCCAGCAACAGATTCATTGAGTCTTCATGCTGCTGCAATAAACAACGTTTACTTGGAGGGCATGGAACTCATTGGAACTGGGTTCACACAAGGAATTAGGTACTGGGTTGTTCATTACCTTTGGCAACAGCCAAAAAAGGTTTGCACGGACCCAAAGCAGGAGAAAGACTAGGGAATAGAAATCTGAAGGGACAAGACTGGTTTTTAAAGCTGTATGAGTGGCTTCTCACTGACCCTGTCTGAATAGCTTAATTTTCTAAACAGGAGTCACTGTTTTCTCCATAAAATCAGTTATCTGGCTGTGACAAGCTATCAGGACAACAAGAACCTGTTTGCTTTTCAGCATCCACCTCACATTTTAAGTACAAGTTATTTATAGCAGTTGGCAGAGGCAAAAGTCATGATTTTGTCATAATCAATGCATATCACAGCAGTGTGACCTCCATGCTGTCCTACAGAGACAGACCTCTTCATCTCAGCTGCGTTGAGACCTGAAACATCCACAAAAGGCAAGGTTGGGTGGCATCCTGTTCATAACTCCAGTAATACAAATGAGGAAACAGGCTATAACCAAGCTTACAGTCTACAGCTCTTGTTTAATCCAGGATTGACAAGCTGCAACAGGTATTTTTGAGGTGTAATTCCTGTCAGACATCTTTTAATGTGCTACTGCTCATTAGCAGCTGTTATATAAAATAAAGCTCACACTGAAATTTAAGGCATTAACCTTGAAAAGGAACTTTTTAACCTATTTAGCTATCTAACTCCTTGTTACACTTGCTTTCATATACCACATTTCTAATCTAAAACTAGGCGGCTTTAAAAGCCATCCTCCTTTCTAGTGGGCAGCTTATTTTCAATACAGACAGAAAAGCATTATGGATTTTCCTTTTTTAATTCCACGATTCGCTACCTAATCCTGTTTAAAAAAACAACCACCCTCCCCTGAAAACTAAGCTATCTTACTATCTGTATTGTGCTAGCTACCCAGGATTTCTTAACTACAGAAGTCCTGAAAATGCAAAGTATAATGGCTTATTTCAAAATACAGCTTTTCCTCCATTTTGGAAAGTACTTGGCATTATCTGCTATGTAGTGGGAAGTCTGAGGTTTGTTTCAAACAAAATCTCACTGCTGTTCAATGAGCTATGTTTACTACAGCTTTCTGCCTGAAATGCTTTTGTCATCCTTGCTGCTCACTGATCCGCTATGTTCTCCCAGATCCTACTGATAAACAGTGTGATGGAGCCAGTGCAGTTGATTACTACCATCCAAAATGACTTACGCATGGAGAAAAGATCTATGTCACTGTCAGGTCTTACATGATTTTATGCTGATGACCCAAGACTTCAGAGTACCATAGAAAGAGGTCTGTAGCATTGTGATGCTACAAGGATCCAGTCGTGTGGGGGTATTCGTGATTTAACAAGATAACTTCATTTGAACTTAAAATTAAAAGTAGCAAATCATACCTGGTATTGAAAGGCTAAAGAAATGACAACAAGCAATACCAAACAAATAGAAAGAAAAGAGGGACTTTTAACCACTATGAAAGCACTCATTTGTTGGAAGAAAATGCAACTTTTTTACTCATTTTGTCCCTTAAAAAGCTATCAAAGTTAACTCCATCTACAGTACAATTATTTCACAGCTTCTTTACTTCAAATGAATTAAGATAATTCAAAACCTCATGTATCCCAGTGAACAACCTTTCTGAGAAAAGCCTGTTTTTCCAAGAACCTCTGCCTGTCTTTTCCAGAAAGGGGTGCAGAAACCTGCACACCCTTCCCTCACGTAACGGCAAAATAAAGTAACACTGGTATGAAGCTCATTACTATCAAGGCAACAAAGGGAACAGTAGAACAGAAGGAATTATTATGAAAAACAGCCAACAGAGCTTGTCACAGGTGGCACAATGAGTGTTAGGTGACCAGCGTATGTCTTCAAAAGCTTGAAAGGTTTTGTGAAAGAAGCAATGATGACTCATCACTATGCTGGAAGTAGGAATGAGTTCCTGGAAGTGGGAACAATTAATGGCGATGTGATGTCAAGCTCATCACTTAGAGAGAGAAAACTTTCATTTGCCCCTGCAGCGTGTGCCCAAGGGCTGCGGCAGCAGACAACGCAACTTACCTGTTTTCCTCCTCCAGGTCTGCGAGGATTCTCTCCAATTCACCTCTCTCCTCACTCTCCAGAGAAATCAGGATCTGGGCAGGGCTTCGGGGCTGGCTCAGTGGGGACTCCTGGTTCAGACTTTGGCAGTAATGCTGAATTAACAAGTGTTCGTCATCTCTGGAAAACAGAGGAGGATAAAACAGGCTGTTCCCTTCCTCATTTTTAACTTCGCAGTGAATATGAGATGATTCACCCCCAGTCTCTCATTTCTTATAAAGAGATTTGCTGAACTCTATGGAACAAACAGCAGAGCAATGTACCTTAAAGCAAAATCTGCTGAACTGTTTCACTTAGTCTCTTGATAATTTTCGTTCTCTGCAGAGTCCACGTCTC